AGTATTTTTTTGCTACTCTGAAAGAAAAAATTACTCATATTCATATTTGGGCCCTCAAGCCCCTATACAGGGTTATCTTTCGATAGTTCCGAAAACAAACGAAAGCATATATAATTGTAATGGAGTTTTTGAACAAATAACTAAGATGCAGATGAGGATAATGGAGTTAATGTTATAAAGGGAATTATGAAAAGAATGTCCGTTTTTATGGCAATGATCATCACTTGCGGATGCAGATAAATACATCCGTTACAACTCTAGAAATAACAATAAAATAAATATTTAGAGGGTTGTAGTCAGTCAAATTTCAAAATGTGAACTAAATTTTTATGTTTGTCCTTTCTTTTTTTGCTATTCGAAACCCTCTAAATTTAAAAAAATAGCTTATTTGTCATTATAAAAAATCGTGGCATTTTCGGCAAAACTAATTGAATTTTAAAAATAAAATACATATATATTTTAAAAAAAAATTTTGACAAATAAAAAAATTCTAACGAATCAATAAATATCTTGTTAACTCTAAACTCTAATAACTATAATAAAAACTTTTTTTTTAAAATAATAGAATTATTTTTAAATACTTCATGCACGAGTTTGACGTCTGATCATAACGTGTGATTTTTATACGATTTATTAACTTTTAAATATGGTTAAAAAATAATTACGATTATTACTAATTATTTAATATTTTTTCAAAATTATATATAAAGAGACAGTGAAGTTTGTGAGAGAATGTTAATAGTTCAATTAAAATGCAGTTCATTTATTGCATCTTAGTTCGTTTGATTAGAAGTATAAATTACAGTGACATTTGTTGCAGCATTTTTATACAAGGAAAGTTGTGTTCCATATTGCATTGTTGACAATTAATAAAAAATTTCGCTGTCTTAAATTTTTAGTTGATCCACAACCTCCTCACAACGACATTGCACAATAAGAAACCATAACATGGAGGAACCACTTTTTTAGTTCATAATTGTCTGTCAAAAGACGCTTCGAAAATTGTAGGAAACTATTTGCAAAACCTTGTAGATTCCACCACAATAAACGTGATAATCATAACAATAATCTTCAAAGCTATCTACCGGTTTGAAACTGTAACGCAAGTGCGTATCAAATGTACGCTTTACGGTTTATAACACTTACCAAGTTTTTGTTGACCAATTATTGCTTCCTTTTATAGAACTGCCGCATTTCAGGTTTCCTCTTTTGTGTCCACTTTGATTGGAACTGATGTTGAACATGAACTATCGACGATTGGTTACATAGTCTTCATGAATGGAATGTGCTTGTTACAAATTATATAATATTTTCAAAATGATTTAGTAAATTTTGCCTTAACCATTGACTTCAAGTTTATTTAATGTAATATTTACTTAATTATCTATCTCCATTTGACTTGCTTACGTTATGTTAGATATAAGTGTTAATGTCATTAAGTACTTTTACTCTTTCATAGTTGTGATGATTTAGAGTGGAAGTTTTCTTAATTGATTATTTATGTTTAATGAACTCAGTAAATAATTTAATGAATGAATATTATGAATAATAAAATATTTACACATATAAGTGGTTTAAATTTTCTTTCAGTTAATTTATATTTGTTGTGGTCTTTACCAGTGATATAATTATTAATAAATTATATATTTTACTAATAAAAAAAATAAAAAATATAAAAAAAATTAATTCTTAAATACATACATCGAATTGACATCCAAAAAATAGTAAAACCTATTGGATGAAACTAAAGAACTAATACTAAAAAAAAAAATAATTATATTAGTCATGTTCTGACATGACTGATATCAACTATCTCCCGTATTCTTTTATTTTGCTTCTGGCTACGTCCGTGCCAAAACGTATTTATTGAAAAAATTTTACTAGGGATAATTAAATTATCATAAAATTCTATAGAGATTAATTTAAATTTGTATTAAGTTTTCATTAAAATGTATTGTTTAATTTAAAATATTACTAGATTAGGTTAGGTTTTACCGGCGATCCTAAAGAGATCAACCTATTGACCCATTATATTACCGTATAATAAAGAAACTTAGGGTTTAAAACTACCTGGAATCTTTGACGAAGCTTAGAATGCTGTTTAGTGGGAGGTCTTGCGGTTGATCAAGATCTGCAGAGAAGTGGGCCCCTGAAGTGTTAAGTTGCCGCCGTGCATAAGCTAGGCAAATCCAATGCAGATCAAAGACTCTTTCATTTTCTTTCCCACAGCAGCAACAGGTATAATTGAAAGGAAGATTCAATTTTCTAGCATGGTTACCTAATCTACAATGATCTGTAAGTAAACTTATCATAAAACTAATATCTCTATGGGACATCTTAATAAGAGAATTGGATTTATTTTTAGTGGAACGTAGCCATAGTACATACAGATGCCTACATATCGTTGAGTCTTTCCATCTTTTATTAAAACGTTCAGCACAAAAATAATTGTTTAGCCAGATTGTTTATGGTAGGTGCTCCAGGTGAAGTCCTGAAGCAACACTCATCTGCTTTACAATTGCTGAAAATATTCCTATGACTGGATACTCAGATTAAAGAAATGTTGAGCTACGTCGACTTCTCGTTTAGAGATGTGTAGCAATTAAAAACCGTCATAGATGTGAATTGGGCTGAACTCAAAGACTTTAAAGCAACTTGACTGTTTGATAGTATGTACCTACATATTTTTCTGTTAAATATATTACACAATTTTAAACAAGATATAGATTGCTTAATGGCGATCACTTTCGCCTGAAAAACTCTACAATGATCTTGAAGCCTATAGTACGAAGATTTGTTCAGTTCCTCTGAGAAAATTGCGCTATCTACATCACTACTGGATCCGTTTTGAGAAAGCACCATTGTTTACGCCATTACTTGCTTTTCATCCGTCAGTTAGACTTTCTACCCCTCTAAAAAGGAACCTCCTGACAGAAATACGGCATTGAATTTTCTGTGGAAATTGCAAATGGGGGAATTATAGTCAATTTTGGTAGAAGTAGAATCGAAAAGATGTGCATAGATGAAAATATTATTGAAATGAACAAACAATTTAATTATTTTTAAAAAAAGTTTTAAAATTCAATTATTCTACAGCTGGTTTATGATTTCGTTCTAATATAAACACAACAAGTAAAATTGTTAATAAAAACTTTCATAGCAAAAGTAACAAAACTCCAGAAATATATGCGGATATAAAAAGTCAAGTACGGCTTTGGATCAGTTGGTTAAGGTGCGCTGATTCTGAGTTTCACATTTGGCAGGACCCACGTTCGATTCCTGGTACTTGCAGTCTCAAAAATAATTATTTACGAATAATTAAATACAGGAATTATTTCCAAGACCACTGATGATGGATATTTAGCAATACTCGAAACAGCTGTATGGTCAGCCAAAAATTCAATTAATTAAAATAACATAAAAAAATAAAATTTCTGTTGTTGTAGTTCACTACTGTTCGAAAAAACCTCTTTAATTTCTATAAATTTAATGATTTTTGTGGAATTTATAACAATTAATTACTACACATTTACGAGGATTTAAACATAGTTTTGAAAAAATGTGATTAATTATAAGAAAAATGATCATTCAAAAGACATTCGGAAGCTGGTTAATAGGTTAATAAGAAACTTGAAACTAGTTTTGAGTAAAATTTTTAATACGTTTAGTAAGTAAGATGAAAATGTGAGTTACTCTGGTGTAGATACTTATACTTAATTATTGTCACTGAACTTGCAGCAAAAAGCTTATGTTTTAAAAAGTATGGAAAACAAGAAAGACAGCCTCGAAGACAGGCAACATTAAATAATACAACAGTTTTTGTTCATTTGAAACTCAATATTATTTTAAAAATGTGATCTTTATTATTTCCTTGAAAATATCTGCAAGAAAAATGATTGATTACATTGAATAGCATTGATTATCGCAGAATAACCATATCAGGTAGACAACGTTTTTAATATTATAAACGACAATCAACATTATAAAAACATAACCAAAGTCAATAACTGATACAGTAGCTATTTAAATTGCAACTACAACGGCAGCAGGAATCTCGAATATCAAATGAATTGAGTGACAAAAGGATTAAAAGGATAAAAAGGATTAAGTGGTGCATAATCTTCTGCTAAAAAATGCAGCTTAATTTTGCAGTGCGTAAAAAATATTTTTACATAAAGTTTTTATTTGTTTAATAAATGTGTTTTTAGATTTTGTTTGTGTTAATGTGCTTAATTGTGAATGGCATTGAGACACAGTTAGTAGAAAATCAAGAAGTGGCTTCACCGGAAAATGCAAAACAAAATGACATAGTAAACCCAATAGTGCTGCATATGCCTGCAATTTATGGATTACCAATAAACTCTGCTGACAGATCTCAGCGTTCAATTTTCCCCGAAGATAGTGTTTGGGCAAGTGGTTTTGGTGTAGGCCATTTGAGTGTTGAAGAATTAGAAGAGTTTCTAGAAGCTTGGAAGGAAGTGGAAGAAGAAGCGAAACCTACACCAGAACCAGAACCAGAACCGAAACCAACACCAAAACCAAAACCAAAACCTAAACCAACAGCGAAACCGAAACCAAAACCCAAGCCCAAACCAAAACCAAAACCGAAACCAACACCAAAGCCTGTAGAGCCTGAACCGGAACCAGAACCGGAACCAGAACCAGAACCTGAACCAGAACCTGAACCAGAACCTGAACCAGAACCTGAACCAGAGCCAGTACCAGAGCCTATTGCAACACCTTCACCACCTATTCCGCCACCAGGGACACAATTATCAGTTTCATTACCAGCTTTTTTGCCTATAAATTTAGCGGCTATGTTTAATGGATCACTCTCACCATCAGTTATATCTTCAGGATCACCTGTATCTGGACAGCCTGGTGTACAACTTGGAGCAGTAGGTGGTGGAAGTGTTCCAGTAGCACAAGAAACGGAAACTGCTGCTGCTGCTGCTGCTACAGCTCGAACGAAAAATGGTCGCAACTTCAAAAAATCCAACAGACCAGACATACGTATTTATATGATGAAAATGTTACCCAGGCGAGTTTAATTTCATTCAAATTATTTTAATAATAAAAAGTAAGTAAAATATTATTTTTAAATCTACTCGTATTTTTATAGGAAACCGAAAAAAATGGCAAAGCAGACAACTACCAATGGTGGTAAAAAAATTGGTCCTATGAATTCTCAAAAAAAAGCACCACAAAAATTTAAAAATAACTTAGCCCAAAGAGCTAAAACTATAAGATTTCCAGTGAAAAATGCAAGGTATTAAGTTTATAAAGATCTATTTTCAAATAATTTATTTAGTGTTAATTATACGACTTATGGGTAAAAATAGAACACTACCTAAGGTAATAAATCATTAATAAATTATTTCGGTTAAATTTAATTATATATCTATAAACAATAAAAAGGCCTTATAAAATTTTTTTAATTTTTATTTAATTTTTATTAATATTAAATTATATATTTATTTTATTATTTAATTATTTTATTTAATTGTTTTTATTATTTTAATTACTTTTTTATATTATTAGCTCATTTGCATCCACGAATTTTATTGCTCAAAAGCCCAGG